GTATATGAATGTGTTTTCACAAACAATTAATATGCATGCATACATACATACATGTATATGTACGTACGTACATACATACTTATATAAGATACATAATATACACACATAATACATGTATATGTACGTACGTACATACATACTTATAAAAGATACATATCATACACGCATACATGTATAAGATACATAACATACATACATACATAACATATGTACATACATACATAACATACATACCTACATATGTACATACATGTATAATGTATGTAAGTACATACATCATATATTACATACGTACATGTATACATACATACAAAGCACCTGTACATGCATGCATACATAACATACATACATACATTACGTACATAACATACACACATACATACACATGCATGCAGACAGATATATACATACATACACGTGTGGAAGCACACATGTGTGTGCACACATACATACATAATACCATAACCTTCTGTAGCTTTTTATAGGCCACCTCGATGAATAGAAATTCTCGTTGTTGTGAAAGTCCAAGAGACTGATCTGTGTTGTTTTCATTGTTGATTTATACACAAATCAAACTACAGTTTAATTAATTTGAAATACATTCTATTGAATTATATATTATTTTGAAGAAACATAGTGCTGTTAAACAAATTTAACAGTAATGGTTCATTTATACTTAAACAGATTTAGCACATTAAAATAGATAATTCAGAGCAACTGTTATGCAACATACACGCATCTCACATAACATGAATATAAATGATTGAGGATTAATATTACTATTAGGAGACTACTACAACATATAATTATACTGTTAGTTAAAAATTAGCAAACAAGCAAGTGACTTGCTTTAAAAGGTTAGTAAATTATGAACAGGTTTTTGTTTTTCCAATGCACAGTCAGTATGAAAACAATATGTGCAAAAATTGTTCCTCCATAGCAATTTTCATAACAATACTATAGCACTACCAAACATTCATCATCATGTCAAACAGCAAAAACAAATTTGTCCAGTTTTCATCTTGTTCAAGGAAAAAATCAGTTCATTATCATTGTGAATTTTTCAGTATATGTTTAAAAATACATCACACATATTCCTGAATACTGCATGTAACATCGCGTATAAGTCGCTTCAACCAGATAAGCATCAACTATTAATGTTTTGTTTACTTGTAGTAAAGCCTTACATAAAATGCCATTTGAATTTTTTTTTTTTTACTAAAGACATATCTGGTAATACAAGCTAATAATGCCTCTATGCCTTCAACACAAAACAAATCACTGGCTTTAGGAAAATAACAAGTGAACTAAAAGTTGCCTTGCAATAATAAAAATACTAAAACTGCAACTTGGGGTAGCTTTTTTCACTACAGCAGAAGAAACAAGTTCTCTATGTCAGATACACGATGTTATTGTTTGTTTTAGTATTCAGAAGCCATGAGTTGTTAACCCTTAGGCTCGGTATTATGGATATCGCAACCTTTCGGCCTTGATTTCATTGTAAATACCGTAAATCTGGGAGAAATGTGGCTTTTCTGCCTACCCCGGGAGTGAACCCGGACCCACCCTGTCTCCGCGCAATCCGGTTTAGCCAACTATGCTAGAGAGCCGGGCATATACATAATGTTAAACAGTATTTACTATACAGCAAGAACACTCAAAAGATACCCCATACCCAGTGAATATAAAATACACAGCAATAAGCCTATGGAAATTAAAAACATGATGGAAGTAGACAGCTTTAAAAAGCTACAGGGAAGGATTAAAACAGGACATCACAAGAACAAATGTTATTATATCTTTAGACAGTTTAAATACTTCACAACACAGTATCATGAAAGATATATTATTTCAAAGGTATATGCAGCACATTAAATCAGACCATGCAACTGCAAATGCTTTGCAACATTCACGTATCATACACAAAAATTCCCCATGTGGATACCAGGGTCCCAAAATGAGAAAAACAGGAACAGACTTGCCGCTTCCTCAGCAAGCATGTCCGAAGAGTTTGCTTATTGTGGCTGAGAGGCAAGAAACCAGCAGTCCGCATACAAATAAGTTAAATCTGTATAACAGATGTCCACTCAACAACCAGTGTCTGGAGCAAAACTAAACTCCACAAGTGGATGAACAGGCCCTTGAGTCCAAACCTACCGACAGCACACTACAAAGTCTAACACAGGAACTTGCTATGTTGTCAAATAAGGCAGAAATTCACTTGCAGTGGATTCCGTCTCACTGCGGCATCAAAGGCAATGAAAGCGCAGATGCTTTAGCCAAGGAAGGCAGTAACAAACTACAGACCTACCAGCCACTATCTTTTCCAGAAGTCAAAACTCTCATTAAGAGAAAATCAGAAACAGATTGGAAAAACAACACTGGTTATGACTACGGAAAAGATTTTCTGAGGCACTTGAACAGAACAGACCAAGTCACAGTTTTTCGCTTACGCACTGGACACTGCAGACTCAATAAACACTCATATAAATTAGGTATGAGCCAAACAGCTCTCTGCCAGTGTCTTCTTGCTGAACAGACTCCAGAACATGTCCTGCAAGACTGTCCTCTCCTGGCGGAGCTGCGGAGCGACATATGGCAGCACCCAGTAGAACTGACAACTAAGCTTTGGGGTAACCTAAGAGACCTTGAAAAGACATCCCAGTTTATGACCCACAGTGGATTATGCGCATGACCAGAGATCGCTGAAGAAGAAGAAGAAGGATGAACAACCAGAACTTTTTGCCTGAGTTTGTAGCCGGTGAACCAGAAGAAGACGAACAAAAATTAGCACAAATAGTAGAGGATTAATACTAGTATACTGTTATAACATATAATTATTTATACTGTTAGTTAATAACTAGGAAAGAGGCAAGTGACTTGCTGTGAGAGGTTAGTTAATTATGAACATGTTTTCCACTTACCGAAAGGCTGCTCCAAAAAGTCTTGATATAGTATATTTAAAATTAATTACACTTAAAAGTACACCATTATAAGAATGTGCAGCCAATATTATAGCATGTTAGTGGATTGGCAAAAGTGTTACAATTATTCCTGTTTGAGAATTTTCTTAACATTATAATGTGCCACTGTTTCCACATTATCCGAATAAAATCTGCTGTTTCTTGACTTAATACAAACTGTAGAGCAGCAGTGTTGTACTCACTTAAAATAAAAAGAGCTGGGGTTTTTCTGTACTGGAAATTTAAGGAGTTTTATATTTAAAGTTGGTGCTACCTTCACAATATTAAGATACTCATTCTGACACAATGTTGATAATCTGATGCAAATTTGCACAGAGATCCCTTTATATCCCTATACAGGTGCCAGCTCTACAACTTTATAGTATTTCAAACACAGAGGAAATTTAAAAAAAAGCCTGTATCATTGTTGCTGACTGACATAAAAAAAGAGACTTCCTTACAAATCTGTAGCTTGCAGGAGATTTTATGAAAGAAAAAAAATCAGGCTACACATAGCCACACACAGGCAACTCAACCGTCTTTCGTGAATTTAAATTTGCTGTAATTTCACACTGTGGAGTTTGGAAATCTTGCATATTCACTATCTAAAAAGGAACACAGCATTTTCTAGGCAATTTTATAATGACACTCAAATCACAATACAGTTGAATATACTTAAAGATGGCTGTGTCCACACCACATGAACAACCACAGATGGCTAACTACACACCTGTCGATGACATAAGACAGCTCCCGTGCTATAAGGTCACGTGATGATATATCTGGCCTTTCCTGAAGCCCGGCCATGCATAATACATACATATACACAGGCATACACAGACACAATGCATATACATATTGCACACACACACTCACAGACACAGCTTAATTTCTTTACTTTGTTCATAAATGCATAGACATAGCTACCATGCTACATTGAAATGCCTACAGTAAGTGACCACTGCAAGATGAGGGGTCACTACAGTGTTTAGGGGTCTGAAAGAAGTTCTGTTCTTGTGGCTGAAATTTTATCTTGTTGTGAGAAGCAATGAGATATCAATGGATGACCTGCTAAGTTTAATGTCATGTGCCGTGAGTGGGTAGTTTGAAAACCCTTAATTTACTTTCACATGATCAAAGAAAGCCATAGTCAGCTGTTTACTTTGTGATTGTATTTGCAGTTGGATGCAAATTATGTAGACGTTGAAGTGCCAAGATATATAAAGAAAAGTGGCCTACTGAGTTTTGATTTATTTTCTGCCACTGAATTTGTATTATTTTCTCAATGAGCCCAATATGCACAGAGAACGTGTGTTGCTAATGTGAAATATTCTTTTGTTTCTTAATGTAAAATATTCACAAATGGAAGTACATAAGAGCTACCTACCCATGGATTTGAACGGATCATAATCTAAAATTTTCTCTGCAGCAGCAAGGACAAATTGGGGGGGGGGGGGGGGGGGGATGTATAATTGGTATTAAACTGACTTTAAATGAACAACCATTAAACTAAACTTTATTAAATTAAACATTAAATAACTGAAATGTGGATTTTTTCCCTCAGGATTTGGTAGGTTTACTTGGATTCTGCTTGGGTTTGAACATCGCTGGTGCATATTGCATATTTTAAAATGGCATTAGCATATATACTGTAATGCAGCATATAAACTTGATGGAAAAAAGCACGGGAAGAATACAGAGATCAACAAGCCCCTTAATGCTTAACCATATGACATATGCGAGATGAGAGCACAGGACACTGAGCCATTCCTGTGATTATAGACATGGCTTGTGACTTCATTTACTTTTATGTTTATACTCATTTTAATGAGTCTTCGGTAACACCAAAGCACAGGAAATGCCAACACCATCATCTGATGTGAGGTTTTTTTTTTTTTTTTTAAATTAAAATGTTTTCTTTTTTTCCTGTTTTCTCAGTCTGTTTGAAAGCAGGACTGGATATACTTGACTTTGTCGTCCGTGTTACAGAATATTGCATAATGTCGCCATGTCCTTCTCTTATCTGATTACCTGTAGATTCAAGGTCAACTTTGGCCAGATGGATGCGTGGTACCCACCCCCTATGGGTTTCAGATACCTCGGGCAACTGCCATTGGTGGACAGAGTACGGGGCATGGTCCCTCCTGCAAGAAAATCTGATTGTGAGGTAAATCTAACGGAACCAAAGTGTCACAAACAAAATTGGGAAGCAAAATTTGATGCAGTAGTTCTCTTAATAAATATGTCTGTTTAATGGGATAGAACTTTGTAAAAATCAGTGAAAAAATAGAGGAGGCATCTCTTTGTTCAGAAAATGTGCATGCCACCATAAATTTTATGGCTGAAAGTCTTCAGTGATGCACCTCAGTGAATTGGGTTTAACAAGTCATAGCAAGGTATGTTATGTCAGAAAGAAAAGACCTGAAAATACTGATGTATCCTAAGGTAGAATAGAAGAGAGCTGAGCAACACAGACATATCCGTTCTGTGTGGGTTCCAAGCCCCATTGTAGGGGGAAAAAGAGTAGACCCACTGCCTCCCTGACAAGAATGTCACAAGAGTCGGCTAATTAAGAAGTTTCTTTCGGAGCCGGAGTGTATCTGCCTGAGAGGCAAGGAACCAGCAGTCTGCATACACATAAGCCAGATCAGCAAAACAGATGTGCAGACCTCAAGTTCTGGAACAAGACTAAGTCCAGAAATGGACAAACAGCCAGAACTTTCTGCTGGAATTTGCAGCCAGTGAACATGAAGAAGAGGAGGAAATATGATTTGTAGAGATTTCTGCACCAGTACTAAAGTACCATCTTCATGAGGACAGTTGCAGACAGGAAGAAAAAACCTGTATTGTATGCAAGACTTGTTCTCTTTGAGGGGAGGCATATTACCATGACATGAACCTAATATGTGCTAAATAGGTTGGTAACATTTTTAGGTATTTTATTCTGAGACTCCCAGCTCACAATCAGAAAGATTAAAAATTTGTTTCAGAATTGCATTTTTCAAGAATTTGAGGATGTTATGGTTTAATAAATTTAAAATGAACTAAGATATTTACATCTTATTCCATTTTCCTGGTACCCATTTTAGGCTGGGCCAAATCATTGAAAGTAGTGACTCATTTTTTTTTTTTTAAATAGTTTTTGACAAAGGAGTTACGAAAACGTGATGTTTGGTGTTAGAGGAGGAGATCTAAGCATGCATTGCACATTGTGTGCGACTAAAAAAAATTACAACTGATGCTGATGTTTGCCAGGAGGATTGGGGGGGTCAAAGGTATTAAGACAGACCCCCCACCCTCTCAATTTTACCGCGCCTCCTAACAGGCATATTGTAAAAGTAGACTGATTAGGGATGTTTCCTTTGAAATCTGAGTCAATCTGATTGAACCAACAGTCTGTCTACATATACGCTAGATCTGTAAAATGGATGTGCATGCTATAGTCAGGTTATAGAACAAAATGAAGGTCTAGAAGTGGACAACCAGAACCTACAGCTGGTGAACACAGAGCTTTTTGTCCTCAACAGTGACACTGACTGCTCTTTCTCTCCTATTCATAAAACCAGTCTTCCATCACCTTTGCCCTTCAATCTTCAAGCAATTAATGATGCTAAGTGTTCTTACATATACTAAATAATAATTTTTTTGGGTGGCTTGGCCTTATGGGTATAGAGTTTAGCTCTGAAATAGCTGGGGAAAAACAGACAGTGATATCTTGAGAGGATGGGACATAACTCTCTAACAAAGTTTAAAACTCTACTTTGATGTGGCCGTTGGTGTATATGAGGCGCTGTAAATTAAACTATGCTCTTGCTGTCTTGGTGGATTTTGTGGTCTGTAAACAAAAGCTAGTGAGTTAATTTGCAGACTTTGGCGGAATTTAATCTTTAACTTGGAAAAATGAGGGTTTTTCAAAGCAGTTGTCATGGATTATACAGCTGAGATTGTTTATTTCACCACCGATCGCTTGCTTTACTGAGTTAAGCTATGCTGATGCAACCACAGTTTTTATTTCAAGGAGACACAACTACTACTGTTAACTCTGCTATGTTGCTAAATAACTTCATTAGGAAATGCATGTTTATGTTTGTCTCTCTGTGTATGCTACAGATCTGCGATTCTCGTCTTTTCCTAATCTAAGTATTCTTGCACCATACATGCACTGCAACTTGAAGATTTCAAGGTCTCTGTTATACCAAGCTTCATTGTTTCAAATGGATTACACAGGCTTTAATAAAGGCTCCTGTGATAATTATTCTGGGTGGTTGTTACATGTGAAGCTTGCAAAAGGAGGTTACTTATGAGGGTTGGGATTAGACTGGCCACTCCTTGCAACAGTGGTAGACTTCAACTACCTGACCCTGTCAGTTTTTACAATGTGAAGGCTGGGGATATGAGATAGTTGAGGTGAATGCCTGTTATCTGTAGGGAACTCTGCAAAGGAAAAGGGAAAAATGTGATGTTGAAAGTAATTGTCTGAGAATGACCAGCTAACAGGTATTTATTTATTCGGAAAAAAACCTATCTGGGATGTGTGTACAGTTTCATTTAGGAAACAGCTGCACAAAAATTCTGCCTCCTCACTGTGTGTTTCTCACCTGTTTTCCACCTCATCTTTAAGACTGCTGACACAGTAGGCCTGACATTTCACACATTTAAAGCCAAACCCGGTAAAAACCAGCTTTAGTTTCTTACAGGTAAGCAGCTATCATTGTCCTTATAACTGGCATAAGTTATTCTAATGCTCACCTTTGTAATCACTGATTACTGTGAGTTTGAACCTGACACCTGCAAAACGTTTAATGATTTCTACTGTTATAAGTGAAAGTCTGCCTCTTCCTTTTAGTTGTTTGCAAATTGTGGTTATCTGAATTGGAGGAGTTACGCTCATTTGTGTGGCTCTGCATCCAGTATGTTCACCTAATTATAAAGTGATTTCTATATAATACTGTATGTTCTTACCTAGCTTAACAGTTGCTGGCTGTAGAAGTGAACCAATTTTCATGTTGTTTAGACACTGAGCGAGAGTTTAAATTGTGTATTTCTGGTATGCTTTTGTGCCCTAAAGAAACAGGCTGTTTGTGTATATGACAGAATGGCAAGTTGATTTGGCATGAGTAATGAAACTATAATTTGTTGGACATATCAGTTGTGGCCGATAATATACTTTGAGCGGGTGTGGTTAAAGATTGACAGAAGAATACTGGGCAATAAACATGCAGTAAGTGTGTAAGCATTCTTTGAGTCTGTTGCTTACACAACTGCCATCATGTAAAGAGGGGTGAAGTGAAGGGGGGAGGTAAGATTTGAATTTCATTAACAGTTTTCATCTGATCACATTTTTACGCCATCTGACTGTGATATGTGTCATCTGTTTTATGTGTCAGTTAAGGTACAGTTATAGTCATTTGTGTGTCCAGAAATGGCCTTAGCTGCTTGTATTTACCACTGTTTTCTGTAGGGTGGAGGGATGTCATTGAGGCTAAGCTTGTAAGGCCACATGGCTAGTGCTGTTGCCACTGGCTGTGTAGGTTAGGATTTTACTTTTGCCCCCAAAAAAAAAAAAAAATCTGCAAACCTTTTGAGGATTCCAAACCTTGGTCTCTGTCATTTGTGTGTGGCGCCCGGAATTTTTTGGGGTTTTAAATTGTGTAATCTCAACGCTTTTTGTAAGTGTCACCTGCCACCAGAAGATTAACATTTAATAACTACCGCCTGCTAGCCAATGGCTACTGCTTACTTTTGGTAACTACCTCTTGCCAAACTTAAATAATATTTACATGTTTTGGTAGTATCACAGACCTCAAAGCTTTGTTATGTTAGTTAGCCTTTGCAGATCTTTCTTCTTTTCTTTGCTTCCTCTTTCACTTCTTTGGGTGTTGAGGGAGATCTAAAGTTCTGCTTCTTATCGTCTTATCACTGGTAGCTTTTATCTTGCAGAAAATATCCTATTACATTAGTAGAGCCTGCAAGCTAGAAAAGAGGCGACTTAACATTCTGCCCCACACTCTTAACATTTTGCTGTACACATCCAACATACTAGCCACACATTTGACATTCTGCTCCACATACCTGATATTCTGCATTACATTCTGCACCACACATGCACAGTTCTTTTAATCAGACCCAATTTCCCCCACCTTGTATACCATTAAGCCTGGATTCTTTCGTTTTTTAGCATGTGGTATGCATGGAACTTCAAAGCCTGTGTGTAGTGTATAAAAGAAAGTTGGATGTGTCTTGCATATTTTATACGTCCACAAGCCTGTGATAGCTCACTCAGTCTTTATCAAAATATAAAGTTGTGTGCCAAGACACCGACTTCATTATTTCTGCTTACAGTGCTTGATTGAGAATCGTTAGTACAGAATAGATTTTGTGCTCTTTCCTGCTTTGTTTTTAAGACTAGAATATCTATCTTAGTCTTAGCTGCACTACACTGGAAGCAGTGTTTTACTGACAGTTCAGATGTTATGCAGAGAGAGAGAGAGAGAGTTTCTCTCTCTTCTCTCTCTCTCTCTCTCTCTCTCTCTCTCTCTCTCTCTCTCTCTCTCTCTCTCTCTCTCTCTCTCTAATGAGTGCTTAGAAGGGCCGAATGTCAGACGGGCCTGCGTGCCCAATTTGTAACCATTTGAAAATAACTTTGTTCATTTGTTCTCTGACATTATGCTTTTATTTGTATTTTAAAGTCAAAACCCAGAGGAAGTTAGAATTGAGAAGTTTTCTTCTACAAAACATCGATAGAAGCATTAGTATACTTAGCATGCTGTCTACTTAAATTCACTTTTGTGTTCTGTCCACGATGAAGAATAGTTGCAGTGAATATGTGCATCAGTTGCACTTTAAAAATAATATATGGTAAATCTTGTTGTCACTGAAGCTGTTATGCAAAAGCTAATTAAAAGTGAGAGTGCATATGATTATTCATGAGTAGTTAACAAAGATTGGGTTAAATATGCAGTGGTCACATGCAGCTTGCATAACAAGTTTTGCTTGGGCACTTATAGTAGAGAAACGGGTGACACCACGGGTGTTGAGTGGAAGCAAGTTTATTGCAGGCAAGAAAAGGGTATTGCTAAACAATAGCCTAAAACATTGATTCCCAAACTGCCCCGGGGAGCCGCAACCTCTTCACAGCGGCGCCGTGAAATATTGTAAAATCTTCAT